GAGGGGCTAGGGGTTACAGTTTAAATAAAGCTGTGAATTTTGAAGTGAATTACACTTTCCCAGTAATTACAAAACTAATACACTTTCCCTTCAAGGCTCTGGTTTAAAAGCCTAGCTTCCCTAAAATTTCTTGCTAGAAGAAGAAACCATTTTTATTTTATTATACAGGATTTATATAGCGCCAACAGTTTGCTCACCTGTCATTAAAATGGGAGACAGTACATGAGAGAGTACACGTAACAATACGATTCAATACACGAGGGTTCGAGGGCTCTGTTCCTTGGAGCTACAATCTAGGAGGGAGGGGATAGTGGTACAGGAGGAAATAGATGTAGGGGATGGAGTGAGTAGGAAGAGCGAGAGGAGTTCAGTAAATTAGCTGAGGGCGGGGTAGGCTTCCCTGAAGAAGGATAGGTTTTCCAGAGTACACCTAAAGGTGAGGAGAGTAGGTGATAGTCTGAGTGGATTGGGGGGTAGGGAGTTCCAGAGGATGGGGGAAGCCCTGGAAAAATCCTGGAGACGGGCATGGGAGGAGGGAGACCAGGGAACTAGTATGAGGTTTGTGAGGAGCGGAGAGTAACGTTTGGGGGTGGTATTTGGGATACCATATCAGTGATGTAGTTTGGGGCAGTATTATGAACAGCTTTATATGTCAATGTTAGTATTTTGAATTTTTTCCGTCGGCAATCGGAAGCCAGTGGAGGGATTGGCAGAGAGGGGTGGCGGGATATGGAGCGGTTAGTAAGGTGGATGAGTCTGGCCGCAAGCATTCAAGATAGACTGAAGCGGGGATAGCCTGCGTTGAGGTAAGCCGATGAGGATTGGGAGTTTTACAGTAGTCGCAGGCGTGATATAAATTTGAGGGAATGTGAATGGAGTTTTGCTTAGTGGTTTCCTCCGGGGTTAGGAATGGACCGTATTTTGGAGATGTTGCGGAGGTGAATGTCTACATGAGTTTGTCAGCGAATGGACCTGCGGGGCTGGAAGGAGAGAAGAGATTGGAGTCTAGATGACGACACCTAGTACTCTGGCTTGAGGGGAGGGAACTGATGGTGGTGTTGTTGGTCTTGGGGGGAAAAAACTAGGAGCTCAGTTTTTGGAAAGAATTTAGTTTGAGGAAGTGGAGTGACATCTAAATTTCGATATGTCCGCTCAGTAGGCTTGCGATACGGGTTTAGACTGAAGGGGTGAGGTGGGGGGTTTAGAGAGAGATAGATTTTTGCGTGTTCATCGGCATAGAGATGGTACTTGAAGCCATGAGAGTGTATCAATTGGCCAAGGGAGGAGGTGTAGATGAGAGAAGAGAAGGGGCCCGAGGACAGAACCTTGAGCGACCCCAACAGAGAGGGGGAGTGAAGAAGAGGTGGCAGCGTTATAGGTAACACTGAAGGAGAGCTGTGATAGTGTTAGGAATGGACTGGCCAGCAATGGTGGGACTCAGCTGCCTTTTGATCTGCAGTACCTAGGGCTGGCCAGCGGGTGCTCCCAGCAATCAGAGACTCAACCTTTCAGCCAGCTAACACCTGGAACTGATGATGCTGGGGTATTTTTAAAGATGGCCAGACTTGCAGACTCGGCCTTGGTGTTGTGTTTGTCCTGGGCCCTGTCATATCTGTCCTGCATCCTGTTTCTGTTCCTTTGCTGACTTCTCCTGCTCTGATCCTGGCTTGTGACCCTGACCATTCCTCTGTCTGACCTTCTGTACTATGCTGCTTGCTACCTGCTGAACCTGGCCTGTGACCCCGACCATTCTCTGCTTGCTCCCCCCGTACCTACCTGCCCAATTGATATTGACCCGCCTGCCTGACGACGCTTGCTTGTATGTACTGTTATCTGTGGGTGGTTGGTTTGGTTTGTTTGCACTGTATTATGTTTTAGTATTGCACTGCGTTTATGTTTGTACTGTTAGTGTTAATAAATTATATTGTTTATAACATATCTGAGGTCTGCGTTTCCCTGCTTCAGTCCCACACACTCTGGTCATACCTGGGAGCCCTGACATTACACCAATCCTGCCAATCCTGACCAGAAGCCATCTTGGCTTGTTGATGGGAAGGATGGATCTAGATGAGGTTGAGTATTTATCTCTGCTAGTGCTTGATGACAGAGAGTATGCTTATCAGACTCTGAAGGAGTATACCCGGGATGAACTGCTAGAATGTATACGGCTCGCTCATGTTCTAGTAGATCAGGCACAGTTTTCTCTATGGTGCAGCCATTGATTCAGGTTTGTGTTGAGTTGGTTTCATCTGGTTTCCCCGAATGCAGGGATGAATTTTTTGCCACCATTTAGTGCAGACCAGGTAGAGTCCCTGGTGTGGTTATTAGAGGATGATGTGGGTTACTTTCTGGAGCGTTATTCCACATGTTCACCACAGACACTGAGAGATTGTATAAACGCAGTGCAGTCATTGACCAGACAGACTTTGTGTAAACTCAGCTTTGTTCAACCCCTACTGCAGACATGGACAGATTTGTTGCACCCAGCCTCAGTCAGCTTACAAAGACCCAGTCCCTGCTTCTAACTCTACTCCTGTATTCCCACCAGCTCCTCCAGTTACAGCCCAGTATACTTGGCTATCTACCGCATGTCAGTACCCTGTTCCCACTCGCTGCACCTATCCTGCCTTAACCCTGTAAAAAAGCCCTCTGTAGCAACTGCTCCCTCTCCTGTTCCATCCTCCAGTTCTTCTCTGTCTCCAGCTGCTCCATTCGTTTGCAGACCTGCGTTTACTTGCAGTGCTCCAGTAGTTAAAACCAGAAAAAAGCGAAAATTCTTTCCAACCAATACCATCCTGCCAGTATCCAAACCGGTGAGCCTGCCTTCCGTGGTTCAGACTGATGCCTGTACGCAGCCTGAAGCCTCTACTCACCCTGAAGCCTCTACGCGGCCTGAAGCCTCTACGCGGCCTGAAGCCTCTCCTCAGCCTGAAGCCTCTACTCGGCCTGATGCCTGTACTCGGCCTGATGCCTGTACTCGGCCTGAAGGCCTCTACGCGGCCTGAAGCCTCTCCTCAGCCTGATGCCTCTACTCGGCCTGATGCCTGTACTCGGCCTGATGCCTCTACTCGGCCTGATGCCTCTACTCGGCCTGATGCCTCTACTCGGCTGAAGCCTCTACTCGGCCTGATGCCTCTACTCGGCCTGATGCCTGCATTCAGCCTGATGCCGCTACTCAGCAGGATGAACTGATCCAGCCCGACGATCCTATTAGGCCAGTTGACTCGATGCCCGCTGTTGATCCAGATGATCCGGTACCTGATCCAGTGCCCGCTGTCGTGCCAATTGACTCAGAGCCCGCTGTCTTACCTGGTGACCCGGTGCCCACTGCCTTGCCAGATGACGCGGTGCCCGCTGCAAAGCCAAATGACCTGATGCCTGGTGACCCAGTGCCCGCTGTCATACCTGGTGACCCGATGCCCGCTGTCGAGCCAGACGATCCAATGCCTGGTGATGCGGTGCCCACTGCCTTGCCAGATGACCTGATGCCTGGCGACCCAGTGCCCGCTGTCATACCTGGTGACCCGATGCCCGCTGTCGAGCCAGACAATCCGGTACCTGATGCCCCGGTGCTCACTGTAGTGCCTGTTGACTCGGAGCCCACTGCCTTGCCAGATGACGCGGTGCCCGCTGTCGAGCCAAATGACCTGATGCCTGGTGACCCAGTGCCCGCTGTCCAGTCAGACGATCCAATGTCTGACCCAGTGCCCGCGGTCATACCAGTTGACTCGGAGCCCACTGCCTTGCCAGATGACGCGGTGCCCGCTGTCGAGCCAAATGACCTGATGCCTGGTGACCCGATGCCCGCTGTCCAGCCAGACGATCCAATGTCTGACCCAGTGCCAGCGGTCATCCCAGTTGACTCGGAGCCCACTGTTGTGCCTGGTGACTCGGTGCCCGCCGCCCCGCCTGGGGGCCCGAGACCTGTCGTTCCGCCTGAGGGCCCGAGACCTGTCGCTCCACCTGGGGGTCCGGCGCCCGCCGCTCCCGCCTGAGGGCCCGAGACCTGTCGCTCCAGCTGGGGGTCCGGCGCCCGCCGCTCCGCCTGAGGGCCCGAGACCTGTCGCTCCAGCTGGGGGTCCGGCGCCCCGCCGCTCCGCCTGAGGGCCCGAGACCTATCGCTCCATCTGGGGGTCCGGCGCCCGCCGCTCCGCCTGAGGGCCCGAGACCTGTCGCTCCGCCTGGGGGTCCGGCGCCCGCCGCTCCCTGGGGCCCCGATGCCTGTCGCCCCGCCTGGGGGCCCGATGCCCGCCGCTCCGCCTGGGGGCCCGATGCCTGTCGCCCCGCCTGGGGGCCCGATGCCCGCCGCTCCGCCTGGGGGCCCGATGCCTGTCGCCCCGCCTGGGGGCCCGGTGCCTGCTGCCCCGCCCGGGGGGCCCCGGTGCCTGCTGCCCCGCCCGGGGGCCCGGTGCCTGCTGCCCGCCCGGGGGCCCGGTGCCTGCTGCTCCGTCCGGGGGCCCGGTGCCTGCTGCTCCGTCCGGGGGCCCGGTGCCTGCTGCCCCGCCCGGGGGCCCGGTGCCTGCTGCTCCGCCCCCGGGGGCCCGGTGCCTGTCGCCCCGCCCGGGGGCCCGGTGCCTGCCGCCCCGCCCGGGGGCCCGGTGCCTGCCGCTCCGCCTGGTGGCCCGCTGCCTGCTGCTTCGCCTGGTAATCCGATGTGCCTCTGCCCGGATCCTGCCCGATGTGCCTCTGCCCGGAGTCCTGCCCGATGTGCCTCTGCCTGGAGTCCTGCCCGATGTGCCTCTGCCCGGTGTGCCTCTGCCCGGAGTCCTGCCCGATGTGCCTCTGCCCGGAGTCCTGCCCGATGTGCCTCTGCCCGGTGTGCCTCTGCTCGATGTGCCTCTGCTCGATGTGCCTCTGCCCGGAGTCCAGCCCGGTGTGCCGCTGCCCGGAGTCCTGCCCGGTGTGCCAGTCTTTGATATCCCGCCAGTTGCCAGACCCGGGCGGTGGAACATTTTGCCCAGCTAGGACTGTTTGGAGCGTCCTGAGGCCGCTCCTTGAGGGGGGGGTACTGTTAGGAATGGACTGGCCAGCAATGGTGGGACTCACCTGCCTTTTGATCTGCAGTACCAGGGCTGGCCAGCGGGTGCTCCCAGCAATCAGAGACTCAACCTTTCAGCCAGCTAACACCTGGAACTGATGATGCTGGGGTATTTAAAGGATGGCCAGACTTGCAGACTCGGCCTTGGTGTTGTGTTTGTCCTGGGCCCTGTATCTGTCCTGCATCCTGTTTCTGTTCCTTTGCTGACTTCTCCTGCTCTGATCCTGGCTTGTGACCCTGACCATTCCTCTGTCTGACCCTCTGTACTATGCTGCTTGCTACCTGCTGAACCTGGCCTGTGACCCCGACCATTCTCTGCTTGCTCCCCCCCGTACCTACCTGCCCAATTGATATTGACCCGGCCTGCCTGACGACGCTTGCTTGTATGTACTGTTATCTGTGGGTGGTTGGTTTGGTTTGTTTGCACTGTATTATGTTTTAGTATTGCACTGCGTTTATGTTTGTACTGTTAGTGTTAATAAATTATATTGTTTATAACATATCTGAGGTCTGCGTTTCCCTGCTTCAGTCACACACCTCTGGTCATACCTGGGAGCCCTGACAGATAGATAGGAAAAGAGCCAGGAGAGAGCGGAGTCTCTGAGGCCAAGAGAGTGTAGTTTTTTTGAGGAGGAGGGGGTGGTAAACTGTGTCAAAAGCTGCAGAGAGGTCGAGGAGTAGGAGCACTGAACAGTGGCCATTAGCTTTGGCGGTTAGCAGGTCGTTGGTGAGTTTGAGTAGGGCAGTTTCAGTGGAGTGTAGGGGGCGGAAGCCAGACTGTAGGGGATCAAGGAGGTTGTTGTTGGTGAGGTGGGAACTCAGAACGATTATAGACTAAGCGCTCTAGGAGTTTGGATGTAAATGGCAGCAGGGAGGTGGGTCTAAGTTGTTCAGGTCGGTGGGATCCAGGGAGGGTTTTTTTAAGTATGGGAGTGATGTGCACGTGTTTTAGAGGGGAATGTGCTGGTAGAGAGGAAAAGATTAAAAGATGCGTGTGAGGGAGCGTAGGATGGAGGAAAGAGGGTGATCGTAGGAGTTGTGAGGGGACAGGGTCAAGGGGGCAGGTGGTGAGGCGGGCTTCAGAGAAGACCTTAGTCACCTCTTCAGTGGTAGCAAGGTCAAAGGAGTGGAGTGTTGAGGGGGTTTTAGTGTGAGGAATGCTAGGTGGGGTGGGAATCTGGGCAGTGGTGAGGTCGAAGGAGTGGAGTGTTGAGGGAGTTTTAGTGTAAGGGATGCTAGGTGGGGTGGAAGTCTGAGCAGTGGCGATGTCCTTACGAATTGCATCGATCTTGTTTTTGAAGTGGTTAGCAATCTTGCGGGCGGTGAGGAGGTACTGGGTGGAGGTGGGGGCAGAGAGAGTTAAAAGTAGAGAAGAGCCGGCGAGGACTGGAGAAGAAGGTATTAATGATGGTAAGCTTGGCAGCGTCAAGGGAGGAAGTGTAGGTTAGGAAGGCAGATTTATATTGGGTGAACGCTTGTTGGGATCTGGTTTTGCGCCATAGTCGCTCCAGTGCGCGGCTGCGTCGTTTGAGATTTTTGGTATGGTCAGTCTGCCAGGGTTGTAGGGGTCGGGGTCTAATGCTTCGTGTTGTTAGGGGTGCTAGAGAGTCTAGAGCGGCTGATAGCGAGTTGTTATAAACAGTAGTGGCCAGTCAGGGCAGGACAGGGGAAGGATACTGTCGTAAAAGTTGGTCAACAGCAGAGTGGAAAGGGGCAGGGTTTCAAGTTGCGGAGGTTTCTGCTGGTGATAGTTTGATGTTTGGAGGGATAGGTATTTGAGGACGAGGAGACTGTGAAGGTGATGAGATTGTGATCAGAGAGGGGAAATGGGGTGTTTGAGAGGTTATAGGGAGTACAGTGGTGGGAGAAGAACAAGGTCTAAGGTATTTCCGTTGGAATGAGTGGAGGATTGAATACACTGCGCTAGCTCAAAAGAAGAGGTTAAGCGGAGGAGTTGGGATGTAGCCGGGTTATTGACGTTAATAGGGATGTTGAAGTCTCCGAGGATGATAGTGGGTAGCTCAGAGGATAGAAAGTAGGGTAGCCAGGCGGCAAAGTCATCGAGAAATGGAACACGGGGCAGGAGACTGGAATCCTCAGGGAGGTTGGAGAGAATAGCTGGATGCATTGGGTCTCGAAAGAAGAGAAGGATAGAGAGGGAGGGTTAAGGAGGACTTGAAAGGTGCTTAGAGGTGACAGAAGTAGACCAACCCTGCCTCCTTTCCGACCACTGGGCCTGGGTGAGTGGGTCAAGGTGAGGCCTCCATAGGAGAGTGCTGCGGGGGGAGGCAGTGTCAGCTGCTTGGAGCCAGGTTTTGGTGTGGGCAAGAAGGTTAGGAGAGCGGGACATGAAGAGGGTCGTGGATAGAGGTGAGTTTATTGCAGACCCGAACGGGTGTTCCAGAGTGCATAGGAGAATGGGAGGGTAGTTTTGGAGAGCAAGGGGACAGATATAAGGTTGAGGAGATTGCGGGGATTCCCGGAAGAAAAAGGATGTCTTGTGTGTGGGTGAAGTAGAGGAGGTCCAAGGTTCGGGGAAATATCCCCAGAGGTTAGGAGAAGAAGAAGGGTGAGGAAGGTGGCATGTGAACGGGATGTATACGGGTGCACATGCCTTCCAGTCCTGGCATTAGGGTCAGCAGGAGAGTGGAGTATTAGCAAGAGGTGATGAGAGCAGTAGTGAGGAGATGGGAGCAGTGAGGGAGAGATGTATAGGGTTTTGGGTGCAGCAGTGGGGACGGAGAAGTTTTGGGAACACAAGAAAGGACTATGAAGAGGAGGAGTAGAGGAGGGCATCATTTAAGGCTGTAGGGAGTGGGGATCGAGTATGGAGAGATGGTTTCCAGGGGCGCTTGATTGCAGATTGTCTAGCGTGTAGTAGAGTTACTTGTAGTATCTTTCTGCAGCTACAGTTCTTGTCCTCAAGCTGGGCTGGGGTCGGCGTAAGTGGTGTCTGGGGTGGTCGGATCTAGAGCGTTGTGTGGCTGTTTTCTTGTCCTTTGGGGTCACACTGGGCTGGGGTCGGTGTGAGTGATGTCTGGAGTGGTCAGATCTGGAGCGTTGTGTGGCTGTTTTGGAGACTAGCTTGGCAGGGTTCAGGGTCTAGGTGGAAGCTCCAGGTTGTAGGATGAGGGTTGGCTTGAGGAGGAGAGGGAGTTGGGTGACAGTTGTAGAATTGATGTCCCTTGAAGCCGATGGGGAGAAGCCAATGCACCAGGCCACGGGTGACCCCTGGTGACACGGCCGTGGGTGTCCGCGGGGAAGACCGCCGGGGTGAGGATGGATGGAGATGGAGGGATGATGATGGATGGAGATGGAGGTGGCTTGTCCGGGTGCAGGGGTGGGGGATGGAGGTGGATGGAGATGGCTTACCGGATGCAGGGAACGCTGTAGGGAGCCTCTGGAGTTTACTGCTGCCCCGGGTGGAGACCTGGGGTGCCTGAGTCTTGGGCTGAGTGGCCGCTCCAGGCCGCGGGGTAGTTTCCACAGGTGATGCGGAGGTTGGGTGGTGGTGATGCCGTACGGGGTCCTGTCGGGTCCCACAGCAGCCTGGTCCTGCCAGAGGTGGCTCTTGACACCGGTGGAGAGGGCTAGGGAGCCTGCTGGGGTGTCTGTTTGGTGCCTGCTTGCTGGTCGTGAGTCCACTGTGGCCTACTGACTCTGCTTGCTGCACCTGGGTCTAGTGCTGGGCTGCTTGAAGTGGCCCCTGGGGCCGGTGGAGGGGGCCTGGGGCTGCTGGGAGTCCACCCTGGGAGCGTGCTGGGAGTCCACCCTGAGTCTTGTGCTGGGCTGCTTGGAGGGGCCCTTGGAGCCAATGGAGGGAGCCAGGGGCAATGGAGGGACCCAGGGGCCACTGGGAGTCCACCCAGGGAGCAGGGGAGCAGGGAGTCAGCAGGGGCATTCCGGGCCGGCCGCGGATTAAATCGAGGCCGTGGATTAATACGAGGCCACGGCTTCATAGGGCATGGTAGGCCGCAACTCCCGGGGCCTGTCAATATACTGCCCAAACCAACAACTATACTGCCCTAGCCCACCACTATACTGTCCTAACCTACCACCATACTGCCCTAAACGTGCCAATATACTTCCCTAACCTGCCACTATACTGCCTTGAAATTATTTTAAAATCAGTGACCCCTGTCCTCTGCCTGCCTTTCTAGCAGTGGTCCCTATCCTCTGCCAGCAGTGACCCCTGTCCACTTCCCTGCCAGCAGTGACCCTTATCCTCTGCCCTGCCAGAAGTGACTCCTGCCCTTTGCCTTGCCAGCAGTCACTCCTGTCCTTTGCCTTGCCAGCAGTCATCCCTGGCTTATGACCTGCCAGAAGTGACTCCTACTATCCTTTGCCTTGCCACTAATGACTCCTGGCCACCTCCCTGCTAACCCCTTTTCTCCATCCTGCTGAAACCTTTTCTCAGCACTGCTGACCCGTTTCCTCAGCTCTGATTACTCCTGTCCTCCACCCTGTGGACCCCTGTGCACATCATACAAACTGATGGCCTCTGTACACTGCCCTATAAACTGCTTACCCTATTCTCTGCCCTACTAACCCCCTGTGCACTTGACCTGTTGACCTCCCATCCTCAACCCCCCTGACATTTTTTACTGCACCCCCACATCAGACAGGCTAGATCTGGCCTGCTGAGCAGCATAAAATGCTAAAAAGGGAAGCTTTAATATCACATTAAAAAAAACACTGTGGGGGGTTAAGTGATGCGGGAAGGACTAAGAGCTTACTTTGGAGGTTAAAATGGTAGTAAATATAGTAAGACTTATCTGTAGGTACAGTGAATGCCTCTTAATTGTGCACTGTTTTGAAAGGTATTTACATGTGTAGCAGCCAGTGACATCACCGGCACATGAACA